CAGAGGTGCTTGTCTGATAGGTCCATGAGCCAACCACTGAGCAGCAGGGATGGGATTAGTGCTCCAAAGTGTGGGGTTAGGAATGACAGGTGTAATGAAGGTTGGCCCCACAGCGCGAGGATGAAACTCAGCAGCCTGAGTGTTCCAGAACATGGCAGGAGTGCGGAGTGCTTCTTGATGCTGCTTTGCCGCTGCGTGGTTACGGAGTTGGTCAGGTCTACGGTAAACCTGGAAGGCTGAGGGCCGTGGTTCAGTAGAGCTGGCCTCCAGTGTTAGGTGACTAAAGTCAAGAGATAAGGTGTTGGTCTCAGGGATATGAACCCCACCAAAACTTAATTCATTCACGGGTGAACTACCGCCACGGGCCTCACTGAGCCCGGGGTCAGAGTATGAGGCCTGCTCAGCCTGCTCTGGTAAAGTTGGAGGAGCTGGAAGCTGAGTCTGGGGTGTAAGAGGCAGCAAGGAGAGAGGGATCGATTGAGAAGGAGGGGGCAGAGAAGACAGTGGTATGGAGGACATCAGAGGATGCGAGCTAGGTTTTGACTGCTGTGACGTCAATGTTTGAAGTTCCTTATCTATGAGAGCATCAAACTCCTCTGTCAGGTGTGTTTCAGTAGGACTGAGCTCTGCTTGAGATACAGGCTGGTTTGAAAAGATGAAGCTCTGCGCCGTTCCACTGAGGGGATCTGCTTGAGTGGTGTTTGTTCCCAGAAGAGCGGCTGCCTGCTCAAAACCTGAGACAGGAGGAGGGGGTGGAGCTATGACCTCAGCAGCATCTGACAGCTCCAAAAGGGAATCCATCGCATTGTCCACTAATGCAGAGATGAACAAGAAACACTTGAATATTTTAAAACAGCATATGTGCAATATTTAAGGACATTGTGAAATATTATTACAATAAAAAAAATGTTTTCTATTTAAATATATTTTAAAATGCAATTTATTATTGTGATGACAACACTGAATTTTTAGTAGCCATTGCTTTTCAGTGTCACATGATCCTTCAGAAATTCTAATAAACTGATTTGGTGCTTAAGAAATAGTAATATTTCTTATTATTATGAATAGTGAAAATAGTTTTTGCTTCTAAGAATATTGTTTGTAGAAATTGTTTAAAAGTTTGGAAATGCGTAAGGGTTAAAAATGATTTAATACTTTCAGCAAGTCTGTAATGTTACAAAAGATTTCCATTTCAAATCAATTCTGTTGCTTTAAAACTTTTAATTAGTCAAAAAATACTGAAACAATTTAGCAGTTTACACAAAAAAACTATTAAGTAGCATAAACTACATAATAAGAACCATAATTAATAATTGAGCACCAATAATAAATGATAATAAATTCGCACCAAATCAGCATATCAGAATACTTTCTGAAAGATCTGACAATTAAGACGTGGGGGGTGGGGGGGGAATTAGCTTTGCAATTACATTTTAAAATACATTAAATTAGAAAAGTTATTTTAGTTAATTAATATTATGTTTTGTAATGTATTTCTGATCAAATAAATGTAGCCTTGGTGAACATATTATGCCTTACAAAAACATTTAAAAAAAACTTTATTATCCCAAACTTGTATGTCATATCATTTTTCATTTTAAGAACTTAATCATATCATACGTCACAACGTCAACTTCCAAGATTTTAAATATAATATATATAATAATAATATAAAGAACATATAATAATATTAGGTAACTAAGTGAAGGTGGTGTTTTGGTATATGTAGCTGGTTTCTAGGTGGTCTAAGATGGTCATTAGGGGGTCCAAGCTGATCTTTAGCCATCTCTGACCATTAACAAACCTGCTACCAGTTGGCCATACCAGGTGAAGATGGGAAAGCTGGCTTTGGAGCATGGTAGTTGGTCAGGCAGCTAATGACCATCTTGCACCAAGTGAAGACCACCACACAGAAACCAGCTATGTTCCAAAACAAATCTACCAGCTACAGATAGGTTTTCCTACAGGTAGTAGTAACAAAAGGTCTATAAATACAATCGTTGATTATATTGTATCTTATTGGATTGTGTGCTGTCTGTTCCCAAAACTAACTTGAATTAGACACCTGCTAAAATTACAGCCAGTGGTGGCCATTTACTCTTACCTTTAAAATCTGCTTCTGAGAGCACCATGTAAATAACTTCTGAATCCAAATGTGAAAACATCTCCTGCATGCTCTGAATGATTTCGTCTCTGCTTTGAGATTCCAGCTGACCGCTCCTGAACTGCATGGATCCAAAGTTATCATATGATGAGTCCGGCCGGGTCACAAAAGGTCCGTTTGCCCCGTGTGCTCGACTCTCGGATCCGCTCCCGTATTCAGCCGCATGCAACGGGGCTCGGGAGGGACTCAGTCCGTTTTTCTTTTTCTTTGGCATTCTGCTGTGACCCGTTCACAAGACACCGACGACAAATCCACTGTTTTCAAGTTTTACTAGAGGAAGGAAAGTAAAGAAGAAAACCAGACGAACAACTAGTTCTTCTTCATGTTTTATGGCGGGTGGCATCCAACGTTAAGGTGCATTACCGCCACCTACTATACTGGAGTGTGGACCAGAGTGACTAACCCAGACCAGAGACGAACAACTCTCAGCGGAGAAGCGAAAATACTGCAGCGCCTCTAGTGGATGGAAACAGCATGACTCCAGCTTTGTTGTATTCTGCGAGGGAAAACTACATAGATAAACAAAAAAAATCTGAAACAGAAAGAGATTTAATGGCAAGCATGCCAACACAAACGAGGAATTTGTCTTGGTGAAACCTCCAGTACACAGGAAAAAATACAAGATAAAATAAGAGTAAATATATATATTAAACTATATAAGAAATGTAGGATTACACCAAATCGTAAACGAATAGCATGTTTGAACATTTTTAACAAATGTATCTAAAAAATAATTCTGTTAACCTGTTTGTTTTGTCCCATGTCTCAGGAATACTATTATATATTCTTGATAAATAATAGAAGTTTGGAAACATTACAGTTTTTAAATGTTTTAATGAAGTCTCTTGCTCACCAAGGCTGCATTTATGTGCTCAAAAATACATAAATAGACTAATATTGTGAAATAATATTACACTTGTATAAACTGTTTTCTATTGTAGTATATTTTAAAATGTAATTTATTCCTGTGATGGCTAAATTTTCAGCATCATTACTTCAGTGTCACATGATCCAAATCATTCTATCATTCATGCTGATCTGCTGCTCAAAAATAATTCTTATCAATGATCATTCAAGATTATTATCAATATTGAAAACAGTTGTGCTACTTAATATTTATGCAGAAACCATGATATACTACCTGAAGGATCCTTAGATCCTCACGTGCAAATTGTGTGTGTTGTGTTTTAATTTTTATGTTTTTTTTATTCATTTATAATCATTTATTCACATAATCATTTTTATAAACATTAGTCATTCATATGATTTATTATTTAATTATTTTTGTCATTTGATTATTTTTATCATTTATCATTATATTATTTAAGTATTTTTATTGTTTATTCATTTATTATGTTTCTATATTTTATATTTCTTATTCATTTTTCCTTGCTTATGCATTTTCATTGTTGTCCATCTCATGCTTGTGGGGTTTCATGAACTGTTTTGTCTGTATGAATAGAGATAGATCAGAGGGAATGTTTATGGAAACCCAAGGTTTATGGTTTTGTCTGTATGAATAAGAGATAGATGAGAGGGAATGTTTATGGAAGCCCAAGGTTTATTGGATGTTGCTGTGAAGCAGTTTTGGTATAACAGTGCATGTTGAATTTGTGCTGGTCAGATGAAGTTTGAACATTGACACATACACAACTAAGTTTGTTCAGTAAACTCTGTTACTTCTTTCCATCATCACTTCGTCTCCTGCTTCATGCTCTTCTCTGGCTTTCCTCTGTCAACTTCTTCTTGACTGACAGAAGACTGTTAAACACTCGTTTTGGGTATTTTTGGATACCAGACAAGACTTGCTGTTAACAGGGTTTGGTATGCAGCGCTGCTGACTAGTTGTTCTGTTACTGGACAAACTGATATTTTCTGACGGGATCTGGCGTCCGGGGCTGGATCCTAATTATTATCTGGCGTGGAGACCCGATCTAACATACCATTCAAATGTTTGGGGCCATTGAGTGTGTGTGTGTTTTATTCAGCAAATATGTATTAAATTGATCAAAAGTGACAGTAAACAATACAAAAGATTCTATTTCAAATTTTAATACTATTTCACAATATTACTGATAATTGTACTGCTATTTTGATTAAATGAATGCAGCCTTGGTGAACATAAGAGACATTAAAACATTTAAAATCACTCTGAAATATAAATTCACTCTGAAATATTACATTATAACTAGTGCTGTCAAACGATTAATTGCGATTAATCACATGATTCGCATCCAAAATAAAAGTTTTTGTTTACATAATATATGTATGTGTGCTGTGTATATTTATATATTATGTATATATAAATACACACACATGCATGTATATATTTAAGAAAAATATGTTGTTTATATATTAAATATATTTATAATATAAATTCTATTAATATAAATATAGACATGTAAATACATGTAAATATTTTCAAAATATATACATGTATGTGTGTGTATTTATATATACATAATACATATACACAGAACACACACATATATTATGCAAACAAAAACTTTTATTTTGGATGCGATTAATCGGTTGACAGCACTAATTATAACTCTATTATTTTCACAAATGTATATATATATTTCTTATGTATTAGTTTTTTTGTGGGGGAGTGGGGGGGTAAGTAAAAAAACGTATGCTATGCAATTGCCTACATTCAGATGTAGTTTTTTCACCAGTTGTGCAAGCCAATGTAGAGGTGCGTCTTCTCTGAGATTTACGGTAAACCAAGTTCGGCGCTGTTCTTTCAGATTTTATGCGTCTCTTTTCTAACCTGTATGGTAATGTTTCTCCCTCCATCGGCGCGTTGCAATACCGTCTTTCAGCCAATGGGGTCGCTGCGCCTCCACTTTCCACGCGAGGACGTTCGCACAAGCCTGTATGAAAGAGACGGAGCTTTGTGCCCTAAACTAAAAAAAAAAACACCCGAACCCGACTCATGCATTAAAACAACGAATTGTCTGTGAGGTAATGACCGGGGAATGATCTGTAGGCGGTTGTAAGGCAACTGGGGTCGCTCGAGGGAGTTTAATTCAAACAGTTTGTGTGGGATGATTAAGTTGGTGGTCGCTGTTTGCCTCGCTGAGTGAACTTGTACAGAGAAAACAAGTAAACAATTCAGATTTCTTACCGTCTAAAGTTAAGATAACGGCCGTAGTGGAGTAGTGTCGAGTGAGCGATATGGAATAAATGTTTTTGGGGTCACAGGAAGCGGCGGGTTGTGATTTTAATAGGTAAATGTGAGTGTTGGCTGTGTGTTTGTTGAATAGTTTGAGGCCTGGAGCTGACGGCTAGGCCAATAGCAGCTCAATGAGCTCTTTTACTCTCTGAGGTGCTTTTAAACGATGTTTTATTATCCAAGTAGTATGGTTATGTCTGAACGTGCGTAATATGAGGAGACCCTTGTCAGGAAAGCTTTACATGCATAGATACTACGTTTAAGATTAAAAGCGCGGCAGCGGAGCGGGTCTCGTTAGCTCTCTGGCTAGTACTGCTATTAGCTTCATTAGCTTCGTGCTTTTTTCGGGATTTTCCCGCAAACTGTCGTCTGTAGGGTTTTCGTATCATTGCACGGTTATAGAGATGTTAGCTACACGCCCAGAGAGCACGAAACAGAAGCGCATACGGTGTTTTTTAGTGTTTTTGTAGTGGTGTGGTGGGTTTGTGTGCTGAACTTTAGTGTTGTTGCCTATAGAGGCCAGTAGAGGACCGTCTGTCTAGAGAAGGATGATGGAGTTCCCGCAGCAGCCTCAGCAGCAAAGACCGGCGGGGGACGTAAAGATCATCTACCCACTGGGTGTCAAAGAGATCACTGATAAAATCAGCAATGATGAAGTCGTCAAACGACTCAAGGTAAGAGTGACAAATGCAATCACATCACTGGAATTAATATATCGAGCTTTATAGCAGGTTTAATTAATAGAAGTCACCAATTATATACTTTATTGGAAAACACTAGTGCATGCTTCAATTATTAATCTATAGTTGTATTATTTATACAATGTTTTAATGTCCCCTTCTTAAGATGATGAATTGGTTAGACTGGATGGCCATGATGTTGTGTCCTGTCGTTCTGTACTTGATCACAAGCAGTCACACGATTTCTTGTAACAGGTTAAATGGCATTTGTGAGCCTAGTTTAGTTCTAGTTAAATCCAGTTTTGACTCATCAAGGGGCGTTTGGTGAATGTACGTGGACCAGTAATAGTGCACTAATAATATTTGCAAAATGCAGCTATCATATTGCTATTGCTCAGGCTTTTAGGGCTATGAACATGGAGGCTAGAGGTTAAATTGAATAGCTCACAAAACTGAAAATTTTCTGAAAAATCACTCAGCCTTGGGCCATCTAAATGATGAGTTTGATTCTTTTTCAGAATAGAATTGAGAAATTTAGCATTACATCCCTTGTTTACCAGTGGATCCTCTGCAGTGAATGGGTGCTGTTTGAAGGAGAGCATCACAATAATTCACAACACAATTCCAGTCCATCACGTAACATCTTGTGAAGCTAAAAGCTGCGTGTTTGTAATAAACTAACCGATCATTAAGACGTTTTACTTCAAAGTGTTGCTTGCGGCTAAGTCCCCCATCTATAATATTGCCTTCTCCAGTGAAAAAAAATCATCTTGTCTGAAGCAGGAGAGAAATACCCACTGATCAAACGCAATCTACAAGCAAAAATAAAGTTCTAAACAAATATGAAAGTAGATTTTGATATGAGAGGACAACAGGGGATGCACTTTTTCACTGGAGGAATCATTATTATGGATTATGGACTATTATGGCCAGAAGTGATGATTTAAAGTTAAAAAGTTTAATGAATAATTAATTACAAACATGCAGCTTTTCACTTCACGAGATGTTAATTGATAGACTAGAGTTGAGTTGTGGAAATATTGTGATGTTTTTATCTGCTGTTTGAACTCTCATTTTGACAGCACCCATTCACTGCAGATGGTCCATTGGTGAGCAAGTGATATAATGCTAAATTTCTCCAAATCTGTTTTGATGAGGAAAAAAAACTTCTCTACATCTTGGATATCCTGAAGCTGACTACATTTTATTAGCTTGATGTGATCAGACCTGCACCTTGGAGACTTTCACTTTCTTTGAAAAAATCCCTTAGACTTGCACTGACAGAGGGAGTAAAGCTAGAGAATATTAATACTTTGAGGTGTGCACTTTTGATTTGGGTCAGTAAACAACTAATTTCTTGCTGTCATTTTCATTGATGTTTGTGTTCTTTCTGTTTGTTTGCATAGCCTATGTATTTATGGAAGTCAGTGGCACGGAAAGGGTAGTATTGTTTAGAAAAGCTTTCAGAACAAAATAACTTGGTTTACTGCATTTTTCTTACTGTTTATTTATTTTGAAATAATTTTTGGGAATAAATGTAATTATTTTAAAGGGGTCATGAACTGCCTTGTTTGAACCCCCCTCATCAGATCACTCTGTTTGAATAGGCATTGTGGATTGTAAACTCTGAAGTAAACCCCCACTGCTATGATTGGCCGAAAATGGCAAAAAAAAAAAAGCTCTTTCGGTGTTCGGCCGAATAAGCGAAAAGACTGAATAAATTGTACCAAACAATGACATGAAGCGATCAAATAGAAGTGCACACTAATGCAGCAAACATGTCAGCAGTGTGGAAGCATTCAAAACTGTCAGAGAAAGACAAAAAATCATTACAAGCACCGGCAGCGTGAGACTGTTTAGTACTGCATCGCATGTCTTTAATGAGAAGATGAAGAGGTGGTTGTTGCTAGTTACTGTATGATGATTGAAATCGCAAAATGGCCTTAAACAATTAAATAAACTGCAGAATGTTGTGTTTTCTAATGCACGCATGAATTGCATGTATTCAAACAGTGCTGCACGAGCTCGTGGCGCTGTCTGCTTGTTAGCCAGGGTTCAAAGTCCAAAGCGCTGAATTAAGCTCTGTAGAGATTATCTACGCTGAAACACTGTTACTCTTCAGTTAACATTTTTATGAATTTCTACAAGGCGTGTGGCAATGCGATATGTGCGACAAACATCTTCCCAAAATCGTAATGAGAATAATTTATAATAGGGGTGCTCCGATCAGGATTTTTGAGGCTGATCGCCGATCACAGAAAGCAGTATCTGCCGATACCAATCACCGATATCGATCTTTTAAAGCCTTCTTTTTATAATTTATAATTATTTATAGTGATACTCCAATCAGGATTTTTAGACATTTATTCAGAGCCTGAATTTCATTTTTGAAATTGCTTTCACACAGGAGTCCGCTACTGATCCGTGGCTGATTACCACCCGATCACAGAAAGCAGTATCTGCCGATACCGATCTTTTTAAAGCCTTCTTTTTTTCATTTATAACTATTTATAGTGATACTCCAATCAGGATTTTTAGACATTTATTCAGGGCCAGAATTTCATTTTTGAAAATGGGGGGAATTCCCCTCTTAGTTGACTCTTGTGAGATGGGAAGCAGCTTTCACACAGGAGTCCGCTACTGATCCGTGGCTGATTACCACAAACACAACATTTATCCATTATTTTGATTTCTAATCCAAACATTGTCTCTGGGATTTTTTTTTTAGCATTTCAATTGTTTTTTTTACACAGTACAGTAATACAATCTTTCACAGACATGTTTAAACACAATAAATATAAGCAACACATTATTCAATGCATTTTAATTTTGCATTTACTTCTAGATTTATATATTAAGTTCGGAAGCATTTGATATCACGCATAAGGCGCCATGATTTCCGCAATGAATGAATGGCGTTGAAAAACGATGAATGAATGAATGAATGGCAATGAAAAACATTTTGTTTACTACACGCATACTAAATGCGCAGCTCGTCAGTGAACAACGGCTCTGTGTAGTTAATGCTGCTCAATGTGAAAGCCCACAGGTGATGGAGATTTACCGCTGATTACAGAACCGGCTTTCTGACAAGATGCGCATTAAATATCGCATGCGATTTATCGTGCAGCCCTAGTTCAGAACTTTTGACTGGTAAGTGTATCAAACGATATGTAATAACAAAGTAATAGTTACCACCACATAATGAAAACAGTTACTCACACTTGTCTGGTTCGACATCGGATCCAGTATAGTCAGAACAGCATCATCTTTCAGTTTCAGTCTTTCTGAAAATCCTGCATCGAATAGTGCTTTGTTTGTAAACGAATCCACGGTAAAATGAAGTGAACGAAGGACCAAGTTCTTACTGACACAGTCTGGCACTTCATTAAATATACTGAGACGGTGCCGCTGCATGTCATGCCAAACCTCTCACGGCAGCGTCATCAGTTTGAGAGCGTTTTTTTGAGATCGGCCTTTTTAAAGACCACCGATCTAACATCCCAACGTGATTATCGGCCGATAGTGATTGGTAGCCGATCAATCGGAGCACCCCTAATTTATAAATCTGCGAAAAAAACACGAAAAAACTTATTCGTCCTTCGGCCCAATGTTAAATTTTGTTTGGCTTCGGCCAAGAATTTTCATTTCAGTTCATCACTAATTCTCAGTACATACACTACCAGTCAAAAGTTTTTAAATACAGTCATTTTTAGTGTTTTTTACTATTTAAAATAACTTCTTTCTATTTGAATATAGGCCTATTTTAAAATGTAATTTATGCCTGTGATCAAAGCTAAATTTTCAGCATCATTACTCCAGTCTTCAGTGTCGTGATCCTTCAGAAAACATTCTAATATGCTGATTAGCTGGTCAAGAAATATTTGTATTATTATTATCAATATTTAAAACGGTTAGAAAGATCCAAAGATCAGCATTTATCTGAAATAAAAAGCTTTTGTAATATTATACACCATACTATTCGAAAGCTTGGAGTCATTTGGGGGCTATCGACGCGGGGGTGGTCTCATTCGAAAGCGGGCCTCTAGACGTACACTCGATCGAGAGGGTTCCTCGAGCTGAAGGGATCCCCCGAATTTGGTGCGGATTCGCCGCGCCGTTACGGAGATATGGCCGTTCAAAGTTTCAATGGTTTTCCATAGACTTAAGCTTTAAAGAAAAAAGACATAAGACTTTAAGACATAAGCTTTAAAGCGTTTCATCCAGGTCGCCAGTAGCAAACAATAGAGCGCTCTGCTGGACAGACTAAGTAATTACACCATTTCAAGCATTTTATCTGCATTATGTTCTGTAAAAAAAAAAGTTCATATCGGCGGCATATTCGCCTATACCGATATATCGGCGACAGGCTCATATAGGCCGATAATATCGGCAAAACGATATATCGGTCGGGCTCTATTAAATATAAAGTTCTTCAAATAAAGTTTTTGTTTCTGCGTAGACCAGGGCCCCAGACTGCGACCAAATGGTTGCATTTTGCAACCATTTTTTCTGCCGGTGCGAGCGTTTTTCAACTCGCGCTGCTATTTCTGTTGCATATGAGAAACATCAAATGGCAAACAAAACAAAAAAACATAACAAAATCCCGCTACTCGTTTGAGCTACGCAGAGCGGACTGTTTAACAGCTCGGACCACGACCCAAACAAACTAGTCCGAGCTTAGAACAGCTTTACTCTGGAACCAAAGTTGATTTCACTATACTGTTACAGCACAGCGCTGCGAGATTCAGTGAGAAGCATTTGAATTAACTGCAGAATTAATAAAGGTTGCTGAGAGATCTATTGAGAAGCATTCAAATTCTGCACAGAAATCTCTTTTATAAACCGATCAAACAGCACTGACGTAAAAAACAATCAGAAGCAGTAACGCTAACTATAACCATGGTGTTGTGGCAGAAATAGTCGAATGTTATTACATTGTTAATTTCAGGGGTTGTACAGCCTTTTGAGAGTGAAATTCAAGCAATTTTCAA